CATGACGCCCAGCTGGAAACACTTCACGTAAGTCGAGCTGCCCGAGATTCACAGAATTTACAGAAAATGTTACTTTTTGTGATTTATATCGTTATCGGGATGATAATGTCTTATATCGGGATATGAGATTTTGGTCATATCGCACAACTGGTCAAAGATTGAGTTATTTTCATTATATGTCGACCCTCTATGTATTTATATAGTAAATTCTTTTATTTGAATTAAACACCAGGCCATTGTGATAGTGTTGGCTGTCTAGAACAGCCATAGTCACCTTTGCCTTATTATGTTGTATTTATACTCCAGTCCAAACTAATTGTTGGATTACTAATCAGTAATCCAACAGTAATCTTTCGCTTTCAGTGATATTACACGAATGGTCTTTAAACCTTTGAAGGCCACTATTTGATACCCTCCATTTAACCCATCTACCCACTAATTGAAAGTGTCTATGGGACTATCTTACAGCTAGTGGTTACCCGCTGGCTATAAGGTGTTACCATCTGTCTCCATGTGCCCATAAAGCTCAGAGTGGTTTGGGGATTTTTCCATTAGTTGGTACAACTGTTCTTACGCCAAACAAACTGCACCACATTCAGCTCAGAGTAGCACGCTGAGTTGCATTTTCATGGGGCTATGGTGTGGTTATTTGTTTCACAGCCAAGTCTGAATGCTGCTGTTCAAATTTCAACCAAAAAGAGTTAGAGATCTAAAGTGTTTTATCTGCTCCAGACATTCTCGGTGTGGATGTGCCCTAAATCCACACAGCAACAAAAATACAGAATTCTAATGATCAGAAATGTCGCACTGCCTGCCAACAAAACTCAATAAAGTTTTGTTTGTTTGTTTGTTTTTTAAACCACATATCTTGGGAAATAATGGTCATCATCACCCTTGTTTGCCCAGCAGTGTGCTGTTTATGTTGGGCCCCCAGACGGTAAGCTTGAGCTGTCTGCCAGAATCATTCTCAAGGCCGCCTCAAGTAATGATAGATGACAAGCTTCTGCGAGGAGGAAAACGGGTCCCTCCGGTAGCCACGCAGAGCCGCTCAGACAAAGGTGCTATCATCTGGCAGCCCATCCTCTGCGCTATTGTGGAGGAAGGTTGAGGGGTGGAGGTAAATAAAAGAGTGGAAGAGTGTCTGCAGCGGCTAATGAGAAAGAAAGTTACATCTCTCCCGTTGAGGAGTGCAGTAAATTGCTGTGAGGCCTGTGCATTGACTCCTTCTTGTCAGTGAATACTAATAAATCCCAGTGGTCACCTTGATTAAGCTGAACATGAAGTTCCAGTTTTGTGCTCTCGAAAAGGGCTAACCTTGACTTTAGACTGAGCAGGAAATGTCTCGTCGTTATTAATGAATCTAAAGAAAATGTATGTTTTGCACTCGTTTTAGGCTCTCTCTCTCAGTTAAACGCTGGTATGTTTCAAGCAGCAAAGACAACATAATTTTTCCTTTTAATAAATGTAACAGAAAAAATATATTTACCATGAAAATGAGATTTAAAAAATAAATCTTTCCATTGGCTCCATTCACTGAAGGCACTGAGATGCTGTAGCCAGTATCCAGACCTTGGGGTTACATTATTTTTACATTATTTTCTGAAGGTCCCGGGGTCAAGAATAAATAAATAACAAACAACCTTCCCAAAGATATTCATATTCTTACTTGAAAATACTTCTTTTTCTATGTTACCATGTGGGCTCAATGTCGTTATGCCTAGTTCAGTTCAGACCAGCAATGTAGTTAGAGTCCAGCCTTCAGCGATGCTAATATTTCATTTAATAGTATAGATTTTACACTATACATTAAGATATTAGCATTAATTAGTAAAAAAAGTAAAAATGGCTGCATAAGTAACTTTATCTAAAAATTTGGACCCAAAGTGATTCAAGGAAGGAGAAATTGTTAGCATTACAGCAACAGGCATCGAG